CCATGGCCGGGGCCGGCTGGGCCCCGCCGCGCCTGGACGAGTTCATCCTCACCGAGCGCCTTGGCGCCGGCACCTACGCCACCGTCTACAAGGCCTACAGGAAGGTAGTGTCCCCGTCGTCGTCCCCCCACCCATGGGACCCCCCCCTTTTACAGCCCTCCATAGGGGCTACCATCCCTATAGCACCTATATGGGACCTGTCACCCCCTTGCCAGCGATTCCTTTCCCCTCCTCCCCAGTCGGGACCCCCCCAGCAGACTGGGGAAGGACCCCCAGGTCGGCTTGTTTGGGGTGTGGGGGGGCTCCAGGGTTGGCTTCCCCCTTGGCAGAGGGACACGCGTGAGGTGGTGGCCATCAAGTGCGTGAGCAAGAGGAGCCTCAACCGGGCATCAGTGGAGAACCTGCTGACGGAGATCGAGATCCTGAAGACCATCCGCCACCCGCACATCGTGGAGCTCAAGGACTTCCAGGTGGGGCTGGAGGCTTCCCGGGTCGGCGGGGGTGGGGGCTGAGCCAGCACTGGTCCAGCTCGGGTCCTGGGGTCCATCTTGGCTCCCCAAGGGCATATCTGTGGGGCTCCGTGCCAGTAACTGGGCAAACCAGTCCAGGCGGACCCTGTGTGGGTGGGATACGTGGTGGGACCGGCCGGGGTGGCGTGACGGGGTCCGCTTGCCTTGCAGTGGGACAGCAACCACATCTACCTGATCATGGAGTTCTGTGCCGGGGGGGACCTCTCCCGCTTCATCCGAATGCGCAGGATCCTCCCCGAGAAGGTGGCGCGCATCTTCCTGCAGCAGCTCGGTGAGGGCCCCCTGCCCGGCTCCCGGACTCACTCCATTGGGCATCCTTCCCGGGGATTTTGGGGGGGGGTAGGGCTGTGGCGTTGTCCCCCCTGCTACGTGCCCATCTGCCCACCCAGCCTGTGCCCTGAAGTTCCTCCACGACCACAACATCTCCCACCTGGACCTCAAGCCACAGAACATCCTCCTGAGCGCTCCGGAGAACCCCCAGCTGAAGCTGGCAGGTCAGGGCAGGTCCCCAAGGAGGGGCTGGAGGTGGCAATTCCTTCTTCTCCACCCCCCCGCCACAAGCTCTCCTCACCCTCTCCCCCGCAGATTTCGGGTTTGCGCAGTACATGTCACCATGGGACGAGAAGCACGTTCTGCGGGGCTCCCCGCTCTACATGGCCCCCGAGATGGTGTGCCGCCAGCAGTATGACGCCCGGGTGGACCTGTGGTCAGTGGGCGTCATCCTTTACGGTGGGCTTTTGCTTTTATCCCCCCTGGGAGTTGGCTCGGGGCCAGTTTCCCCCTCTCCATCTCCCCCCGCCGCTCCCTTTCCCCTCCCACAGAAGCACTTTTTGGGAGGCCGCCCTTTGCCTCCCGCTCCTTCGCCGAGCTGGAGGAGAAGATCCGCAGCGACCGGGCTGTCGAGGTAACGTAGGATGGGATGGAGCTGGGTGGGTTCTCGCAGCTCGGGGCTGCGGCAGGGCTGGTGGTCTCAGCCCCATTCCCTCCCCAGCTGCCCAGCCGGCCCCTGCTCTCCCCGGAATGCCGGGATCTCTTAGGACAGCTCTTGGAGAGGGACCCTTTGAAACGCATCTCCTTCGAATGCTTCTTTGCCCATCCCTTTGTGGATATGGAGCACGTCCCCGGCCCCGAGAGCCTCTGCAAGGCGGTGAGCTGGGTGCTGGGGTGCCAGTCCCTGGGGATGGAGGGGGGCAGAGCCCTGAGTTCCCCCACACACACACTTTGTGTCCCCCAGACCGACCTGGTGGTGGAGGCGGTGAAGAAGGATCAGGAGGGGGATGCCTCTGCCGCCCTCTCCCTTTACTGCAAAGCCCTGGAGTATTTTGTGCCGGCTCTGCACTGTGAGTCCACCCCGGGGGGAGCTGCGTGGGTCCTGGGCGGTGCTGGGTGCATTTGTGGGGGCAGACAGCACCCCGGGGGAGGCTGGTTTGCAGCCCACCCACCCCAGCGTTCGGTCGCTCTCCCCTGCCAGATGAAAGCGATGCTCGCCGGAAAGAAGCCATTCGAGCCAAGGTGAGTCAAAAATCCCTGGGGAGGCGGTGGACAGCATCCCCCCCCAGCTTAGCTCTGCAAGATGTCGCCCCATCCTCTGTTCTCCGTGGTGGGGGTCTCCTCATTCCCTGCACCCCCCCCGGCTGTGGGCAGGTGGGGCAGTACATCTCCCGAGCAGAGGAGCTGAAGGCATTGGTCACCTCCAGCAACAAGAACCTCTTGCAGCAAGGGAACCCGGCCAGAGAGCTCCTTAAAGGTAGTGTTTGTTGGGAGACCCCCCCGCAACATCGGAGGGGGAAGGGGACACCCAGTGGGGTTTTGGGCTGAAGTGGGTGCTCCCCACTGCACCGTTCCCTTACAGAGATGGCCAAGGACAAGCCTCGCCTCTGCGCGGCGCTGGAAATGGCTTCTGCTGCCATCGCTAAGGTGAGTGGTGGATTTGGGGGGGGTCCCCTTTCCCCTTGAGTGGAAGGGGAAAGGGCAAACCCAGGTGGGGAGGGATCTGGCGTATTCCCCTCCAGCTGCAGCCAGGCCCCCTGGGGTCTCTTGCAGGAGGAGGAAGGCAAAGATGACAGTGACACCCTGGAGCTCTACCAGCAGAGCCTGGGGGAGCTGCTGCTCCTCCTGGCCGGTGAGTTGTGACCATGGTGGGTGCTGTGGGGGCAAGGGACGCATCCTGCGCCTGCGGTTGATCTGATGGCACGTCCCTCTTCCCTCTGCAGCGGAGCCCACGGGGAGGCGACGGGAGCTGCTCCACGCGGAGGTGAGTGCCAGCCGTGGGACAGCGGCGTGTCCGCGTGGGCGTGGCTTTGAAGGGATTTTCCTCCCTCTCTCTCTGCTAGATCCAGACCCTGATGGCCCGGGCCGAGTACCTGAAAGACCAGATGAAGGTAGGGCTGCTTACTGGGGGGCTCTGGAGCATGCTGGGGCAGGAGGGGTTGCGGGCTGGAAAATGATCTTCTGCCCCAGCAGATGCGGGAGGCACAGTCCATGGGCAAGGAGGCACTGGCAGAGCCCGTCCGGAGCAGTGAGTCCCTTTTTCTGTCCCCTCTTGTCCCATCAGAGAGGGTTTGGTGAAAAGGGCCTGGGGAACGTCCCCCCTCGTGGCTGCGGTCCTTGTGGTGGGGAACATCCCTACAGCTGCCACAGCCATGGGGATATTCCTGCCTGGGGGTAATCCCGACCCCGTACACCCTTCTTTCCCCCCAGCCTGGGCTTATCCATGCCCGGGAGCCCACCTGGGCTGGGTGACGATGGTGTGTGCAGCCGAGTGATTGCCCTCTGTGCCCCCCCCGGCACAGCCTGTACCTTGCAGTGATGCCCAGGAGCTGGCCGGCGGGACGCTGCTCGCCGCCCTGGCGCTGCCATGCCAAGAGATGCCATCGGCAGGGCGGAGGAAAGATGAGGCTTTCGTCCCGACCACATCGGAGTAGCCGCCTCAGGGGGCTCCCCCTTGGGGCTCCCACCCCCGGAGGGTCCCACGGGGGGGTCTGCAGGGCTATCTGCTCCTCTGCCTGGGCGCAGGCGTCATTTCCCGACGGGCAGAGTCCCCTCCCAGCCCTACCTCGACCGTCTGCTGCCGCAGCCTTCCCTGACGGCGGCAGGCAGGTTATTCCACTCTAATTCCCTCCGCTGGCTGTGACGGGCTGCGTATTTTTATCCTGGCACCGGGCTCCGGCAGAATATCCCCCCCTCTGCCAGTCACATACGTCTCTTGCCTTTTCAGCTAGATGTTTCTTCCGCCTCCCAAATTCTTCTGGGGGAGCCCTAAGTGTACGCGCAGCCCAGACCCCAAAAATCCCCCGCAGTAGCTCCAGGCTGGTGGTGATGGCAGCAGGCAGGGGGTCAGGGTGGCTGCCTGCGCCTGCCCTCCGCTGTGCCTTTCTCACCCAGCAACTACCTCTCTGTGCCCACCGCCGCTCATCCAGCCTCGAGCACCCAAATTGCACTGTCCCGGGCCAGCCATACCTCCCTCTCGCTGCTAGAGCGTTGGGATCGGGGCTTTTGCTTCCTAAACCCGCCTGCACAGGAGTATGGCAGGGACTGACGCCTTCGTCATTTGTGTCATGAGGTGTTGGCAGTGCTCAGCAGGGACTAATTGATTGTGCATGCTCCTCCGTGGGTATAAGCTTCGAGTAAAACAGATGAGTGGAAATCAATCACCTTCAGGGACAGAGTCACACGGCTGCAAACGGCAATACCTCCCCGAAGGCAGAGCCTCGGCGTCCTGCCTGCTCTGCTCCTCAGGGCTCTGACAACCCAAATATCCAGATTATGTTCACAGGAGCACCCCCCCAGCCCTGCAGAAGTCACTTTTCTGGGGTGGTGAGCTCTGCCTGCCCTGCAAAGCAAGGGACTTGTCTCGATATCTACTGTATTTCAAGGGAATGTAATTTATTGTCTTTAATAAATACTTTTTTTGGTTTCTCCAACTCCTCCAGTCTTGGGTTTGTGCTTTAAGACCCAAGAGGTGTCTCCAGCCAAGCCCAGGACTGAGAGCCAGCCCGGGGTGCCTGGAGCCATCAAGGAAGGCTGGGGACCCCTCGTCTCTGTCCCCTTGCCCAAGACCAGAGCCATGGGGTCCCCTCCTCGCCTCCAGCCAGCACTGGCTGGGAGTGCCCCTACCTCCCCGTATTCCCTGGGGACACGAGGCAGCCAAGGCAAGGTTTGACCTTGTTTTCCATTCAGATTTTTTTTTTTTTTTTTTTTTGGTATGTGTGTGCGTGTAAAACATCGAGCAGAACAACATGAAAGATTATGTAAAATTGTGTTTTCTCCAATAGGTTTTTACGGTGGGTGAGGAACGGTTGGGCTGGGCAGAGAGGTGTGGGGGAAAGGCAGAGGGGCCGGAGCAAATGCTGGGGTGATTTTTGGGGGGCCCCAAGGATGGTCTGAGCTGTGACCCCAGCAAAGCTCCTCCCGAGACTGCTTTTGCCCCAGATGCTGCCCCATAACCTGGTTTCTTCCCCCCACCCCCCCGCAGCTCCAGCCTTTAGTCCTTTGCTGGCTGCTCCATGCCCAAGCTGTTGGAGAGCTTCCCAGGCGGATGTGGCGAGGCATTTTTATGTCTTTTTTTTTTTTTTTGTTATTATTATTCTGAGCAGAGATTATATCCTGAGGCTTTAAAGAGCTTTCAAGCCCCCTACCCTCCCCCAGCCCGTGGCTAGCGCAGAGCCGCCGGGGATGGCTGAACCGGCTGGCTGCGGCAGCCGGCGCGGATAATCGCATCTGCCTTTTACGCTCTGCCGAAGACGCAGGCCCAATCCGGAGCCTTTTGAAGCGGGGAGAGACTCCGGCCGTTTCCCCGGGGGGACGAGGGTGATGGAGCTCGGGGTGCCCCAGCTTTGCATCGGGGTGGATGCGAGTCCTTTCTGCGTCAGGGCTCGCAAAGCGCTGCCCAAATATCGCTCCCCGGGCAGGCTGAAGGGAAGGAGGCACGAAGTGAGCAGTCGCCAGTCCGGCAGCACGGGGCCGGCTCCGGTGGTGGCTTTTCTCGCTCAGCATGGCTTTGGCTGCAGCGGGCAGGAGGGACGGCTGCCGGGCTCCGGCTGCCTTCTCCCATCGGTGTCATGGCAAAGCCCGGTGGGGACGCGTGCCGAAGCAGTGCTGCCTCCTCACACCATCCGGCCCTTGCAAAGGGCTATTCCAACCCGGAGCCTCTCGAGCATCGCTCGTGGGGTGGCTCTTGGATCCAGATTGTCACCCAGAGAGGGACACGGGGATGGCAGATGGGTGTATTGCCCTCCTTGTGCCAGCCCGTGGGTTACTCGGTGATGGGAGTTCAAATGCTCAATGGGTTTTGAAGAAAGAGAGGGTTGGGGAAAGCTGGGTCAGTGCGTGGAGCCGGTCCTGGGTTCTCCCCCATGCTCTTTAATCCGGAGTAATCCCCGTATCTGAACCAGCAACACAGTGGTGCTGCAGTGGGATGGATGGGGCCGTCCCTTCCCGCAGCAGCTCACAGGGAGATTTAATTGCCTGCAAAAAGAAAAATGAACTATTCAGTGGAGATTCCCCCATCCTTTAATGGCGGTTCATTTGTTTCAGTGCTTTAACGATTGCTCATTTAATGCTTTGTCCTTTGGGGAAACCGCTCACGTCATCTCGCGCTCACCAGCAGAAAGGAGGCCTGATCCTGCGGCCATACTATGAGGGGTTGCTCCACGTCTGGTGCAGGAGGGTAGGAGCTCTGCCCACCCCCGGGGCATTTATTTATAAGCTCCGCTGCCGGCAGAGATCGTCCAGCACCCAGCAAGAGCTTGCTTGAACAAATCCACCCCAAACCTGGCCCCATAGGTGAGGGAATTGGGTTTATAGCGTAGAAGAGAAAAAAATAGGTTTTTTCTGCTTTAATCCACACTAATTCTTTGCTTTAAGTTTTTTCAGCCCCTGTGTTGATGCCCGGAGCGGTCGTATGGCAGGCAGGCAGCTGGGATGCTTGAGGACCCGGCAGTGGGGGATGCTGGCAAACAGGGATGCAACTCTCAAAGGGCAGGGGACAGGCGAGAGGAGGGCTGCCTGCCCCCACTCCCCCCCATCCCAACCTCTCCTCCCCGGTACGGGCAGCAGGGCCAGCGATGGGAGCAAGGGCTGCGGGCTCGGAGCATCCCGGGAGCTCACAACGCTTTGCCGGGAACGCTTTGCTGAGGCTTAACACGTTGCCGGAGCCAAGCAGGGAGAGCTCGTGCTGCTTGCTTTTCACATGCCTGGGGGTCATGGTGCCTCCTAAAATAAACCCGCCAAGCTTCACGCGGCCTTTGCGTGGCGGCACGTGGGCCTGGAGTGAGCGCGGAGCGGAGCTGAAGGTCCGCGGCTGGGGGAGCAGGGAAAGGGGGGGGGGCAAAATAAAAGGTGGGGGAGAGGGTCCAGGCTGTGTCCTCGTGGGGTCATGCTGGTTGCGGGTGGGCTGAACCAAAGGGCTGCATCCCCTAGCCCCATCTCCCTCCCTCTGCGCTGGTGGGGATCCTGCTTACCCGTGGGATGTTTTAATGGTTGAGCCTTGCCATCAGCCAGGGAGTTAAAAGCCAAGCCAGGCTGGAGTGCTTGGCTTGGTCAGTGCTGGCTCTCCGCTATCCCTTTCCTCGTGGGGGATTAGATGAGCTTGGGCTGAGCCTCATCAGGTATGATCTCCTTTCAGAGCTAAAGCTGCTTCTGCCCATATTCCCTCGCCTTTCTCGCGAAAGGGGCTGGGTTAGGGCTCTGCCTGGGGTAGATGTCCCCGGAGCTGCTGGTGGGTCCCCACAGGGCTGGAGAGCAGCCTGGTCCCTGGGGCTGGAGGGTTGGGGTGATGTGTGTCCCCATGGGCAGAGCATCCCGCCCGAGTTTCTCAGGACTACCCGACCCCAGCACAGTATTACCAGAGGGCTGGGGGCAGAAAGCAATCTCCTGGCTGTACCAGAGAGCTTTGCTCAGCCCAGCAGCTCCAGGCGTGGCCTGATCCAGCATCTTTGCTGTAATAATAATAATAATAATAATAATGCCACCAGCTTCCCAGCACCCTCCCCTGCATTTTTCTGGATGACACAACTCCCCCTGCAAAAGCAAATTGCAGTTAATTCACTCCATTGGGATTTTGGGCAGTGAATTCCCAGCCTGTGCCAAGTTTTTCCAGGAAGCCTCGCTGCAGGAGCCCACCACTCGCTGGGATGCCAGCAGGCCCGAACTGCTCCAGCTTGAAGTCACACCTGTACTTATCACGGTCTCGTCCCCACAGAGACGTGTCCTTGCTCGGAGCAGCGCCGTGGGCACCCTGCGGTGCCCATGAGACTGCGGCGGGGAGCTGGTGAGCAATCTGAAGGCTTTTTACTAAAATAGCCAAAAATCTGTGAAATCTGGGGGTTTTGTTTGCTTTTAAACCCGGCTGCTGACAAATAGCCGCTCATAGCATCCCTTCAGTACGAAACACGGCAAAGCAGCCGACGACAACCAGGTGTGATGCTTTCTTCTGGATGATGCTGCAAGAGATTTCTCTCTTGAGCTCCCATCACTGCTCCCCCCTGCCCCGTAAAGGGGATGCACTTAATGTCTCTGCATCCCCCCATAGCTTGGGGCACCCCAAAACCTTTATCAGAAAAGTACTGCTCGAGGAGAGAAACAAATGCATAGACATCTCCTGATATTTATTCCACCGGTTATAACAGTACCATGGCATGGGGACAGCATAGGAGGTGGAGAGAAACTCAGCTGAGCACAGCACACAACTACAGCACAACAGAGGAGGAAGAGGAGACTTTTTTTTTTTTTTTCCTTATCCCTTTGCTCTTCTCCTGGAAGGAACAAGGACACGAGTGGATCCCACCCTGGGAGAGGGAGGGTGTGCCACCACCGCTCCAGGGAAGGGCTGGTGTGGGTTCAGATGAGCACTTGAGGAGGGGTTTTATTCCTCTCTGGCATTAAT